TTTTTTGCAAATAACTTAAACCCGCACATAAACGTATTGTTCTATAGTCCCTGAGCGAACGCTTTCCTTCCCCTTCGGTCCCAAAACTAAAGCTGTTGCCTGTCTTTCACCCAACCTTCCCTTCCCTTCATCAATTCAGTAACCTCACCAAAAAACCTTTTTTTAAACTCCCAATGCGTTGATAAAACTCCCCCGCAGTCCACGATTCCCGGTGCTTTTGCCCTTTCCCCCAGGGACTCAAACCCTCCTATTTCCCCCTCATTATGTCCCCCCCCAAAGCTTCCCTATCAACTGGTCCAAACCCTCATGGCACATTCCCCACCCCTCAAAATCCCCAAATCCTCCCCCTTCCCTCCCCAATATCTTCGTTACCACGTACCGCAAACAACCCCATCCCATCCGTGGTGGTAACCTGACCCGCCCTTACCCTCCCACCGACTCAAGAAAACCCCCAAACATGAAAGGTTTCTGTGGTTGTTTTTTTTGCGCAAACACAAACGAAGAGGCCTATTCCCCATAAAAAACCCCTCCACCCCCGCCATTTCTCTCCCCTTGGACCCCTCGCCTGAATTTCCCCCAACCCCCTCTTTTAAATATCTAATGTCGTCCATCGGATAGACACCCTCTACGTCCCTTTTTCAAACACCCCGTAACCTGTCCTCCCCAAAAATTAATCAACCCAAATTTAAAGAATTAATCCTTTTTCCCCCCCCCTCCATAATAATGCCGAATCCGGGCCTTAGCCACACCTCCCAACGTCACCAGCCTCCCCCACCTTTTACCTCCTCAGTTAATCTCCCCCCCAGCTCCCTAAACCCCCCACCCCTCCCCATCTTTCCCAAAAGATCGTATTTAATTTCCAATATCCCCTAGAGATACAAGCTGAGAATCCCACTCTACTTCTGCGACAACCGCCCCCTTTTGAAAAAACTAGTTCAATATACGGACAGACGTTGACAATACCTTATGAGATAACAACCCGTCCAACCAGCTCGTAACCTCGCCCCCGAAAGTATGTCCACCTCCCCCCCTCCCCACTACCACACCCTCAAACTGAAGCCACCAAAAATTTCTAATGCTGCAAAAATATGCCGCCCCCCGTGGTTCCAAAAATCCCTTCCTGATCCACAATTCCGCCCCACCCACGATGGCCACTTCAGGTAAACCCGGGAAACAAAAAAAAGATCATCACACACAAAATCCCTCTTACTTCTATCATTTCAGTGGTGCATACACACTTTCAAGGTTCCCTCTGCCCATCCACCCCCATCTAACAAACCCCCCCCCCCCCCCCCCTTTACGTCTTTGAACACAAACGGGCTCGCCTCCTTTTTCAAAAAACCCCACCACCTTTCAAACGTGCCCCATGGCAGAGTCAACACCGATACCCCTCCACCCGGCACTCTACCCCCCCTGAAAATTTTCCCTGAGAAGGGCTACGTCCACTCTGTATCGAGTAAGAGCATACGAAAACATTCCCCCTTCCACCAGTACACAGTCCATTCCTTCCAGTCAGCACTTAAGCCTTTCTAAAACTTCCAACCCCCTTTCCCTCACCCTTCCCAGGCCTCTTGCCCAGGGTCAAAAATGGGTTTGTCACCATCCCCCCCCCCCCCCTCTTCGATGCCTCTTACCGGCTGTACGAGAATTCATCCTTCCTCCCAGACCTCTGCCGGGGTCGGACATCATCTGATCTGACGCAGCCGCCCCTTCCCCGTAACACCTCTACCCCCCTATGTCTACGAAATTCTCACAGTGAACACAACCCTCGTGCCCGTCGACGAGCTTGGTGATCCTCTCTGGCCGCAGTTGTCCCCCTTCCTTTCCCCTGCCTGTCCCCCCAACTCTCCTGTCAAATCAGGCACCATTTCACGGGCCAAGCCATTATCCTCGCCCGAAGAAGGTAAAATTTTCAATCCTCGTCGAGCCCCCCTCCCCTCTTGCACTCCTGTGAAAATGAGACTTCCTCCCCCCCTCACCCGGGAAAGTGGCCATTTTCGGCCCCACAACTCGTGCCCCCCCGGTCAAAAATGCACCACAAGAGACTCTTCTACAATTTTTACTCCACAGCGGCCATCCCTCGGGTTTTCCTTTGGAATGCTCCTTACGACATCCCAAACCGGGAAAAAGGGGCACCCCCCTGTTTGCGCGGCGCCCTCCCCCTGCCTCCACCGTCGCCGCCATTGGCTATCTCCCCACAACCTGCATGCCGTCGCTCCCCGCAATCGCACAGAATTTGGGGCCCCAAAAAACCGGCTCACGACATAAGACGGGATCGGGTGCCTCAGTGTCATTTTGGGGAGAATTACCCTCCGGACGTTCCCCCGTACGCACCTGCCGCCCACTTTTCCTTGGGTTCCAATGCACGTTTCCATAAGCTGCAAAAACCTTTCCCTAAGTCCCCTCGTCAGCCCCGAAGGGGACATTCGCAACTTCACCCCCGTAAGTGGGGAGAAACGTCTATGAGTCGCCTTTGACGCGGGGTTTTCATCAATACTCACATGCTCAATTTTGTCCTAATGATCGTACCAGCCGTGAATTCAACTTGACGAAAAAGACGATAGGCCCCATTAGGGCCCCCACCAAAACCCCATCATCCTGCATCCCTGTTTTTCCCTGATGATTGCCGGAAGTAACACCTGCGCCGTAGAGGGGGAAATCGCCCCACGAAGCAGCTCCACGCCGACAGTGTTCACCCTACGTCGGATACTCAGCGCCATATTGTTGCTATGAGAGCTCTCCTGACAAAACAGCAGAGGGGTGCTATGCACAACCGCACTCCACCGCAGTCAGGCAGCTAATATGGATCTTCTAAAGCCCGATTGATAGCTATGGAGAATGTTGTTGTCATTAAGGTACTTAACTACTTGAGAATACACCGCCCTCTCTAGAATTTTAGATATTATACTGAGTATACTAACAGGCCTATAGTTGCTTACATCAGACCTACTATTTTTCTTGAAGATAGGAGTGACTCTGGCCTCCTTGAACCCCTCCGGTACTGTATTAGTGGTGATTGATAGATTTATTATGTGAGCAATAGGGATTGACAGTTCAGAAGCACCATCTTTTAGGAACTTAGACGGGATGTTATCAGGGCCTGTGCTCTTAGTTGGGTTTAACCTGCTTAGTTCTTTTTGAATAAAGTCATGAGATACACTTACTAGTTGACAACTGTTTGGGGTTCCCCCTTTATTGGTATAGTATGTTTGAAACTTATCAGAGTCTGTGTTAAAGGTATTTGATGCAGCTGGTAGTTTACTTACTAGTGTTGATGCAACAGATGTGTAGTAGGAATTAAAGCAATTTGCCACCTTAGATGTTTCGTGGCATACCTCATTATCGATAGTGAGTACTATGTTAGACCTATCTACTGGCTTATGGCTATACCCCAACTGTTTTAGTTGTTGCCAGAGCTTTCTGGGGTTATGCTTATACTCTTCAATTTTTGAGCAGTAGTGCTTTGCCTTTGCTCCTTTTATAAGTCTCTGTACTCTGTTCCTCACCCTTTGGAATTCATTTAGTGCTGCAATATCCTGTCTGTTTGCTTTAAATCTTTTTAGCAGCTGGTCTCTGAATTTCATATTATCTAATATCTCAGTATTCATCCAGGGTTCAGTTCTTCGTTTAATCCTAACCTCTTTAACTGGTGCAATATTATCAAGGATGGTAGTGAACATTGTTTTGAATTTTTCCCAGGCATCGTTTACGTCCGTGCAACTTATCTCTGTCCAGTCACAATTGTGTAGCCTATTTACCAGTGTTTCTTTACTGTAGTTTCTAGTTGACCTCATTTTTATTGTCCTGTGTAGGCCTATCCTATCCCTAGTTATTTTCCTGGTGCAGTAAATGATGAAATGATCACTAAGACCTGTGGTAATGACGCCTGACTGACTAATGTTCTCAGAGCGGTTACAAAGTATGTGGTTAATTAGGGTGGCTGAGAACTGTGTGATCCGGGTTGGAGTATTAATTAGTTGAGTGTAACTATTTAATCCTAGAATTTGCTTATACCTTTTGCATAGCCCGTTATTTTGCTGCTGAAAACAGATATTAAAGTCGCCGTATTATTGTCTCGCAATTGTTTTCAACTCCGGACAAGACTCTGGAAAAGTCTTCTAAGAACTGGTCCTGGGTAGGAGGGCGGTAACTAGTTCCTACTAGATGGGTTTGGTCTTAGGAAGCAGCACTTCAAACCATAGAATCTCCAGTTTATTGTTATTTAAATCAGGTCTTGGGTTGTAAGCTAAGTCATTTCTAATGTAGGCACATACTTCCACCACCCTTTCTGTTCCTATCTAAGCGTTTTATATTGTAACCATCTATTTTGACCTCGTCGTCGTCACCGTATCATCCAACCAAGATTCAGAGATGGTTATAACTGCCGCCCTAATTTTGTTAGCTAGAATCCTAATCTCTGCCAATTTAGGAAGAAGTGATCTTGCATTGACATGAATAAAGTGAAGGCCTGTTTTCACTATATGGCAATGGGTCATTTGTATTAAAATTAGGTAAATCATGTCATCACGGCTAAAGGGTAACTGTGCCAAAGTGCATTTGTTACACACAAAAATGAATTCTGGCACCGTTGCTATAATTGTACATACATCCATCATGCACCCACCCCTTACACATTTTACATAAGGTGCCTTTTCTGTTTTTCATGCGTACTTTAGTACAGTGTATGTGGTGAGGGTCTCTTGATCCAAGGAATGTGATCTATATCACCTGAGAGTGAACTTATCCTCCCAAGTAGTCCATGACCCCCACGGTTTGAGCGCTCCACCATGAGTAGTACTGATAGTGAGGGGGGTAGTAGTGTGCCAAGGCTGTATAGCCCTTGTGGCTTAGCGCTTCTTTTTTGATTACAATAATAATAGTGATGGTAGTGGTGGTGTAGCAGTGCCATCTAGTGGTGGTAGTCAGAGTTAGTCAGGTTATCAGTGATGGTGTTATAGTGAAGGTCAGACAGTGACCAACCTCAAGGTCACTAAAAGTCAGTTGAACTTCAGTGGTCGTACAGGAGAGACGTGTTGATCCTCCTGCCGCCCCGCCGGCTTTACCGCTTCCTCATCCTTTTAATACACTTAAATAACGTAAGTATTGTCTGGTGACGTATTTGTCAGTACAACAGCAGAGTTGGGCTGCAGCTCCTGGTCCCCACGACCAGTTTGGTCACCTAATTATTAATATTTTGTCTTAATTTTCTTTGGGGTCTAATGTCTTAGAGGGGGGAGGGGTTATTGACCTTAGTGGAGAGGTTTTGATGCGAGGAACTGGAGCTACTCCCCTTCCTCTGATCAAACAATAACTCTCACACTAGGCGTTACATAACTCATAATTGTGTATCCAGTTCTGGGCTATTTTTTCCATTATTGAAAAATAACTTAGTGGAGGTCTCTTGATCCAAGGAACTTGCGCCTTGTGATCCAGATATAGACTTCCATGCAAGCAAATTGTTAGCCATCAGGTTTATGTCAAAGAAATATTAAAGAAAAAGCTTTACTTACTATGTTAAACATTAATGGGTATATCATTCAGACAGTAATGTTACTAGTTTATATTACATGGTAATGTTTACCTGTGTGTATAATGTTCATGGTTATAATGTGAATGTTTTATTTCAGGTGTGGTAACTGAGGAGTGCTGTGCCTGGCTGTGTCTGCTGCAACATTGATCAACACAGCAACATTGACCAGTCTGAGGGGTGGAGACAACCACACTAGTAAATGATCTGACCCATAACAGTTAGTGTTATATGGAGATGCAGCACTTGGAGACGTCGTTAGAGGTGGGCAGGGCCCACTTGTAAGGCATTTTCAGGTTACAAGTCCACTAAAGTTTGGTTACTGAAGCAGATAGTAATTATATTAGGTGGGAGGACGGGGGGGGGAGAGTATAGGAAACATTGTAAGAAGTTATCAAAAGTAGCTTAGTGGGAAGTATTAGGTTATCTCAAGACCAGAGATGAAATCTCTGGCCAGGAAATAATGAGGAATGTATTCTAAAGGTAACCTTGAATGGGGTGGAAATAAAAATTGGAATAGTGGGTTGTAAAGCTTAGAATTGAAGACTGATTAGATTTTAGGAACTTTTAGTTAATGTAATGTAATATATTATGTAATCTATACCCATCCTGTGCTGTATAGCCCTTGTGGCTTAGCGCTTCTTTTTGATTATAATAATAATAATATACCCATCCTGCAAGATTGTAGGAAGCAGAGATGAAATGTGTAAGTGATATATCATAGTTCAGTTGGTAGTGGCGTCAACTGAAGAAGCGAAATTCGATCCGGGGCACAAGTGGGCATGTTCCTTATACCCATTGGCACTTCACATAAGAAAGGAGGAACACTGCAGCAGGTCTACTGGTAGGGGTCGCATCCTGGGGGAGTATAAATACCCATATAAAAATTTCATAGATGTCATCCTGACTTGATTGTGTAATTGTGTGTTAATCTACCGGGTTAATAATTATACTGAGATAGTTTAGTGTGGTGAGGGTAATGGTAGAAGTCTTGATGCCGGGTGTAAGGAAAGCCTATTAAATCCGGCATATACATTATTAAACCATACCCCCGGCCGGGATGAATCTTATTGTGGCTAGCTGGTCTAGTGGCTAACGCGACGGGCTGGAGTTTTGAGACTCTATGACCGCGGGTTCAATCCCGGCCGGGGGTATGGTTTATTTGCAATCGTGTCATTACGATTTCTTGAGTCATATACATTATTAAGACATAAAGGAGCACTGAAGCAGGTCTATTGGCCCATGTTAGGCAGGTCCAACTCACCACTCATTTGTCTAACCTATTTTTAAAACGACACAGCCAAAGTTTTAGCTTCACATGACGGGATAAATTTTCCTTAGGCAGGATATATTATAGATGAAAAATCAATAACAGTTCCTCAGAAATGTGGAATTAACCATATCTTCCTATTTTCAGTAGGGTTGTAGAGGGCCTGGCCAAGTAATCTTATGCTCTGAAGTCCCAAAAATATTTTCAGTAGATTAGCTTTGTGGGTTTAGCGCTTACGACTCCAGAGTCTGTATTAGAGCTGCTTGGGGGGGGGGCATTTGTTTTGAAATTGGGTTATACAGTGTATATTTACAGACTTTGTAGACTGATCTTACCTAGACCCCCTTTGATCTTACCTAGACCCCCTTTGATCTTACCTAGACCCCCCTTGATCTTACCTAGACCCCCTTTGATCTTACCTAGACCCCCTTGATCTTACCTAGACTCCCCTTGATCTTACCTAGACTCCCCTTGATCTTACCTAGACTCCCCTTGATCTTACCTAGACTCCCCTTGATCTTACCTAGACTCCCCTTGATCTTGTTTAGGTAAGACACACATGCAACAGTTAGGTATCTTTATTTCGAAACGTTTCGCCTACACAGTAGGCTTCTTTAGTCGAGTACAGAAAAGTTGATAGAAGCAGAAGAGACTTGAAGACGATGTAATCAGTCCATCACCCTTAAAGTTTTGAGGTGGTCAGTCCCTCAGTCTAGAGAAGAACATTGTTTCATAGTCTGAAACAATATGGAGTTGAAGTGATAGAATGGAGCCTTATATAGCGCCAGGAGGTGAGACGTAGGTCACTAGTAGAGTAAGAATGTAGACGTTGAGAGGTTAGGTCCCTCTCAGATCCAGCCATTCTCACTAGTAGAGGTTGTTGAAGTTGATTCCAAGTCTGTACCAAGATACCCTTGTGTTGCAGTGTCTGACAGAGTGAACAATAAAATGGTATAAAATACCGACAGGTATTTTATACCATTTTATTGTTCACTCCCCTTAATCTTACCTAGACTCCCCTTGATCTTACCCAGACTCCCCTTGATCTTACCTAGACCCCCCTTGATTTTACCTAGACCCCCTTTGATCTTACCTAGACCCCCCTTGATCTTACCTAGACCCCCCTTGATCTTACCTAGACCCCCCTTGATCTTACCTAGACCCTCCTTGATCTTACCTAGACCTTGATCTTACCAAGACCCTCCTTGATCTTACCAAGACCCCCCTTGATCTTACCAAGACCCTCCTTGATCTTACCTAGACCCTCCTTGATCTTACCTAGACCCTCCTTGATCTTACCTAGACCCTCCTTGATCTTACCTAGACCTTGATCTTACCTAGACCTTGATCTTACCTAGTCCCCCTTGATCTTACCTAGACCCCCTTGATCTTACCTAGACCCCCCTTGATCTTACCTAGACCACCTTGATCTTACCTAGACCCCCCTTGATCTTACCTAGACCCCCCTTGATCTTACCTAGACCCCCTTGATCTTACCTAGACCCCCTTGATCTCACCTAGAACTCCTTGATCTTACCTTCACCTCCCTTCATCCTCTCTTGCGCCGCCACTGCCCTGCAAATTAGTAAGGCCTATACCTGGAGTATGCTGCATAGTTGGTGTATGTATATATATATATATATATATTTATATATATATATATATATATATATATATATATATATATATATATATATATCTGTAGGTGTGCAATTATTTAGCTTCTGCTATCGAAATATCTTATAAAATTAGGTGGTGTTAAGTAGGATAGGTAAGGTATAGAACTGGAGAATCTGCTATATGCATTATGAATGCATATAGCAGGGGAGAGTAATCTCCCCTGAAGGCATAGATTACGTAGAACTGTGGGCCTTGGAACCCACCAACGACCTTCAGTAGCTGTCTGCAATCTGTTATTGCACGTGGTTTCCGTGGGGATTTTGGTGGGTTCCGGGCTTTGGGTAGTGGTTGTGGTGGGTGTTCTACGTTTTTTATGCCTTTGGCAAGTCTAATGTTGCTTTGTTTACTAAGTTCACAAAACTGACGCTTGAAGGGAAAACTTTAGACGTTTCGGTATAACCTGGGTTTTGAGACTACTTTCGACCGCACCTGGCTTTAGTTTTGATATCTTTTTTTCTGGACCAGATTTCTAAAACATTCATTGTTTTCATATTATAAATGGTGTACAATACCAGGTTGGTAAGAAACACTGTGACAGGTATTATCCATGAAATGTTTCGCTTGGGGAGTAGCTTTATAATTCGTCAACATAAACATTCTCTCAACTCCCAGGCGCTTCAACGTTCAAGCTCTCCAAAACAAGCTCAACCAGGTCGAGCCCTCAATCCAGTTCACACTTGAAGAAGAAGTCGACAACACTCTTCCTTTCCTTGATGATGTTCTCTGCAAAACTGACCATGAACTTCGTTTTAAAGTCTATCGAAAACCAACCAACCAAAACGATCTTCTCCACTTCTACTCTCACCACGACACCAAAACTAAACGTGGTGTAATTATAGGCTTCTTCCTGCGCGCACTCAGAATCTGCAGCAATGAGTTCCTTGAGGAAGAATGCACTATAATTGAACAGGTATTTTCTAAACTCCACTATCCTCGTCACTAAATCAGAGACTGCAGACGGCGGGCATTAAACATCTTCAATACACCCAGAGAAGACACTGCCGAGAAGAGATACATAGTCCTCCCCACCAACTCCATTGCCAAAACACGTTTCCAACATCTTTTCCAATACATCATTCCAAGTATCTACCTCCACAACCACGACCATCAAGGACATCACCAGTAGTAGACAGGACAAGCTTCCATCCTCTGCAGGGGTATACATAATCCCTTGTAATGACTGCAACAAATTATACGCGGGCGAAACATCAAGAGACCTCCAAACACGTATTTCAGAACACCAATACGCAAGCAGGACTGACGATACAAGGAATGCCTGTGTACAACATCGCAATTCACACAACCATTTAATTAACTTCAGACACTCAAGACTTATCGCCACAGAAGACAACACTCAATACCGAAGAATCCTGGAATCATCGCTTATCTCTGTAACCAACAATTTCAACCAGAACTTAATACCTAAGTGGAAGATAGGTATTAATAAAGGGGATATTAACAAGGTCTTGAGGATATCTCTCCAAGAGAGAACCCGCAGTAATGGATTTAAATTAGATAAGTTTAGATTTAGAAAGGACATAGGAAAGTATTGGTTTGGAAATAGGGTAGTTGATGAGTGGAACAGTCTACCTAGTTGGGTTATTGAGGCTAGGACTTTGGGTAGTTTCAAATTTAGGTTGGATAAGTACACGAGTGGGAGGGGTTGGATTTGAGTGGGACTTTAACATCAGAGCTTCTTTCTTGGGTAGCATTGAAAATTGGGTTATCACTACCATTATCACTACCACCATTAGTATTATCACTACCACCATTAGCATTATCACTACCACCATTAGCATTATCACTACCACCATTAGTATTATCACTACCACCATTAGTATTACCGCAGATCTTACCAGTACTACCTATACTAGATGAAGAATTGAGACACTTATGCAACACATGGGAATCTTTATTGAAGAAACGTTTCGCCACACTGGCTTCATCAGTCCAATACAAAGTAGAAATGGGTAAGGAGAGTAGAAGTTTTGAGGTAATCAGTCGCTCAACCTGGAATCGATGTGTTCAGTCCATCACTCTTGTAGGAAGTGCAGCACAGGGCCAGAGAGGTGGCTTATATTCTGCGGTGAGATGAGTCCAAGCAGGAGGAGGCGGGATCACAGTGGGACCTGCCACTAGTGTAAGTAGGTCGTCGTCCAAAGGTTGGGCAAGCGTTGAAGTCATTGTCCCAAGATCCCATGATGTTGCAGTGTCTGACAGATGTGATGAATGGTTTTGAAAACACTACCTATACTACTATTATTACTACTGCTTTTACTATTATTGTCTATACCACTACTACTGTTTTTTGAAACTTAGTCGCCTGACGTCCTTTGTAATTTCACTCGCTTCCCCCCTCCATTTTTTTTTTTTTGCGACCTGTCTTGTGGTCTATTATACTTTTTGACCCTTCGTCTGACTTGATACTCGTCCAAGAGAAACCAAAAGATCGTCGCAAATTGCTTTTACATTGTTGGTTTCCATAAGTGTGTTGTAAGTAGTTTTATATATTTAGGTAGTTAGGTTAAGTATAGAACTGGAGAATCTGCTATATGCATTATGAATGCATATAGCAGGGGAGAGTAATCTCCCCCGAAGGCATAGATTACGTAGAACTGTGGGCCTTGGAACCCACCAACGACCTTCAGTAGCTGTCTGCAATCTGTTATTGCACGTGGTTTCCGTGGGGATTTTGGTGGGTTCCGGGCTTTGGGTAGTGGTTGTGGTGGGTGTTCTACGTTTTTTATGCCTTTGGCCAAACTGAACAAAGTTAAATATTGATTCATTGAGTTTTAATAGTGTAATCATTTTGGAAAATTTAAGCGGCGTTCGGGTTCCTATGAAAATAAAAGTATTAGCATTCAGAATTGCAGTTCGTTTGATAGTTTGCAAGTAGTGAATTCTGACGCTTCTGGCAGCAGACGTTAATGGTGAAAAATGATGAAAACCTCTGATCTGAAGTGAAGTGCGAGTTGGCAGAAAGGATTCACTAACATCTGATGCTGATGAGTATAATTATGGGGGGGGGTGATTCAGGTTGGTATTAGTGAAAATAGGATTATTAACCATTATGGGTTAGAAACCCAGAAAAAAAAGAGGTAGAGGGGGGGGGGCGGCTCTTCAATGTAGTGGTTCTCAGATTGTTCCTAGAATGCCAGCCATAACGGACAGGTAAGGTAGGTTATGAATTCAGACTATTATGCTAGTGTGTTAGGAGACTGGTATACGATAGACCTCCAGCTGGTTAGATAACACATTAGGCTAACAACCAACACTATGGGTTAAGAGGAACATGGAAGTGTAGGGGAAATAGTGTTGTCTTAATGATCCTAAAGACCTTCATGTTAAATTTGGATAGCCTTCAAGGGGTGTCTTTGTACTAGTGAAGATATCTTGATATTAGGCTAAGGTACTTGCAACTGCTTATATTTTTGTAAGGAAGGGAATCAGGTTTGATCCAAGCTGTGTATAACCCCTATGGATAATTATATCTATTATGGGAAATTTTATTTGGGTAAATGTGCACGTATGTAAAATAAATTGAGGGTGGGGGAGCGGTAAACGGGGGGGGGGGGACTGATTTTCATCGACCTATCAAACCTCATTAAGAGAATAGTAGTCTAAGTTGACTTGATAGGCGTCTAACAGGAAAACAATCTTTCTATATTTAAGGGGTACTGGAAGTAGGTTTGGCTAGGTTGTATGTTACGGAGTTTACCCTCAAACTTTTTTTAATTGCCGCAGAATCCTCCCGACAAGACAGAACACTAGAGACGAGGTCATCATAATAGGCTTTGTTAGAAGACTTGTGCACGCGGAAGTGTTTGCAGTGAAGATAGTGTTGTACATGACAGTCCACTGCTGTGTCGCAACACTGCATAGCTTCCTGACAATACAAACCCAGGGTCGTAAAATTTAAAAATGTATCATACCTCAAACTACTAGTAATGGCAGTACTGAGGCTATCCGCCTCATTACTACTGTTGTTAGTAGGGTTGGGGTAGGTTTTTTTTTTTTTTTTTTTTTAAACCTCCGAGCTTCCAGCTCCCGAATTGTGTGAATGTTGTCCTCCTGCTGACAAATACAGCAGTTGAGGCTTGTTTCAATTATTTCATTTTTCTTGTGTGTTCTTGAACACCTTTGTGTGTTCCTTGAACATTGCTGTGATAAAGAAAAATTATTTTTTTTAAATTTTAATTGAGAATATTAAGTTTGTAGAATCTTGTAGGTTGAAGATATTCCTCGTGGTGAAGGCCGCGTTGTGGGCAGCTGCAAGTCTTCAGATATACCATCACCAGCAGCAACACCCCAAAACAATGTCTGCAAAGATAAAAGTGTGGACATTACTAGATTATTCGTGTACTGCAGCAAGTAATAGCTTGAAGTCCATGTATTTAAAATGCTTCCTTCAACATTTTGCAGAAAGAAAAATTGCTAAAATATTTTCAGAGTTGATCCATCAAAAATTACCATGATATTGGAGTAATTAAAGTTTTTTTTTAAATTACCACAGGTTGATGGAACTGGAAGATCTGGAGGTGTTGATGGTGTGGTGGATGGCAGAGGAGTGACTAGTGGCGCCACTATTCTTGACCTCCATGGCTAAATGGCGCCACTGACCTGGAGGAGGGGGTGTTAATGACGTCAGTGGTTGTTTGTGGGGAGGGGGAAGGTCGTTAAGGGAAGTGTGAAAATTTGTGTGGACTGCCTCCAAGTGAGTCGCCTACCCTGGCAAACTGTTGACAGAGTTCTGAGGTGGGTACCTCAGCCTCACAAGTGGCTTATAGGACAGATTTTCACAAATGATTTATGTTGCAAGAAACTCGCCTGCATGCACGTATAAAGGACTAACTTACTTGATCAAACTTATTGTAAACTTCTTTTATTGACCATTTTTATTCCATACTTTTTTAACCTAGTATTTTCAACTACAACTTTTATATCATCCTGTCTACCATCTTACTCGCATATTATAACCAAGTCATTGCCATTTTTAATTTTATTTTTTTTTTATTATTATTTTGCTACCTTAATTTGTGTATTTTATCCTGTCAATTTAAATCTAATTATACTCTAATTCTTGTAAACAACTTATATAAGACCTTAGTGCAATTACAATTGAGAGTCTTGTTCCTTTATTATATTATTAGATTAATCACAGTTTTACTCCAGCTCATTCTAGCTCAATACATAGTCAATACCAAATTCACTATACTAGACCATAGTGCAATTACTAGTGAGAGACTGGTGCTATTTGTAATTTGTATTTTTATACTATTAGACTAAACCTAGTTGTACTATAGCTCTTTCTAGCTCAATACATAGTCAATACCAAATCCACTATATTAGACCGTAGTGCAATTACTAGTGAGAGACTGGTGCTATTTTTAATTTGTATTTTTATATTATTAGATTAAATTCAGTTGTACCATAGCTCATTCTACCTCAAGACATAGTCAATACCAAATTCACTATATTAGACCATAGTGCAATTACTAGTGAGAGACTAGTGCTATTTTTAATTTGTACTTTTATATTATTAGATTAAACCTATTGTACTTTAGCTCACTCTAGCTCAAAACATAGATTCCACAAAAGCCATTATTAGACCTTAGTGCAATTACAAGTGAGAGTCTTGTTCTATTTTTAATTTGTATTTTTATATTACTAATTTATACCTAGTTGTACTTTAGTTCATTCCAGCACAACACATAGACAACATCAACTTCATTATTGTGTAGTAGTGACTATACCCTACATTACCAAAATACTCGTAGCTAATAATACTTGTCCAAACTTTATACCACATACAGTATATCAGTAGATAGAACTCAACACACCTAACTAGGAATATAAATAACCATAATTAAACTAGAAGATATTGATCACGTTACCCTGACTAAACACCATAACTGAAACCCAATCAAAACCTAATGGAAAGTAACACCTTTATTACACAGCATCACAAGCCACCACTATTCTAAACAATGCTAAAAGTCTATCAGTACTTAACTACAACATCAGGTCCTTAATTAAGCAAACACTATGATGACCTCCTAGCACTCCTTGAATCACTAAAGACACCCTTCTCCTGCATTATTCTTACTGAGACCTGGCTTAAGCAGGACACAATAGATATCTACCCTCTACCAGGATACACAGCAATTCACAACTGCAGAACAAACCAAGTTGGGGGTTGGTATTGCAATCTATTACTCTAACCAATTATCTTGTATTAGCACCACTTGCTTTAGTGATGAATATGGGGAATACATTTTTGCTAATTTTACTGTAAAAAACCTTAAGACGCCTATAACAATCGGTGCCATTTACCGGATACCTCACACAAACATCCCAAATTTCAGTGAGAAATTAAAGTCACTAATAACAAACAGACAAATGAATAAGCACCACCTTCTCTTAGCTGGAGACTTCAACATCAACCTTGGCTTACTAGATGATCAGCCTGTAACTGATTTCATCAACAATATGAACAACACACTTCTCATACCAACAATAACTAAACCAACCAGGCTCACTGAGACAAGTGCAACCATAATAGACCACAAATGGACCAATATACTAGCCCCCCTTAAATCAGGGATAATCACAGATAGCACTACAGACCACTACCCTACCTTCCTCCTGACAAACATTAGTAAACCACCACTTGAATACAACAAAGTCTCATTTAGACTCCATGACGAGGCCTCAGTAAGGAAGTTCACAGCTGACCTAGAGACTGTTGATTGGCCTACAGAATTCTCCAAGGCCAATGTATTGATGACTGGACAGACATTTTTCTTAACAAATTACTTAGACTATACAACAAACATTGTCCTATAAAAACAAAACAGACTATACAACAAACATTGTCCTATAAAAACAAAACAGATCACAAACAAACGGCTTGGTTGCCCATGGCTAACCAGCACCCATTCTGAAATCCATTGACAAGAAACACCAATATGAAAAGCAATATAGACAGGGCTTAATACACAAAGATACTCTTAAACACTGTTCATCAGCTCTCACCAAAGTGATAAAAAAAGCCAAACAACTATACTACTCCAGTAGATTCACAGACACTAGAGGAGATATAAAAAAGACCTGGAAAACACTCTCTCAGATTCTAGGGACCCACAAACTGAGAAAAACCAAGAATATTGTCCTAACTAAACCTAATGAAACACCACTACATCCCACTGACACAGCTAACAAGATAAACGACTTCTTCTCAAACATAGGATCTAATCTCGCCAGTAAAATCCCACATACCAATGCCCATGCGGGGACTACCTAGATGGAAATTTCCCTAATTCCTTCTATCTTGCACCAACTGAGCCACGGGAGTCATTGAGATCATAAAGTCACTTAAAAATAAACTCGGGGAATCTGTCTCATGTCCCACCATTACTGTACAAGCGAGCGGCCCATGTCCTTTTGCATGCTATTTCATTACTTTTTAACAAGTCAATAGAGACTAGCACCTTCCCGAAACTACTCAAGATGGCAAGGGTTACACCAATACATAAAGGTGGTGACCCTACAGACTTAAAACAACTATAGGCCAATATCTAACTTACCATTGCTATCCAAAATCTTTGAGAAACTCGTGCACAGGAGACTGTATTCATTTATAACAGCTCAAAACATACTCAACCCCTGCCAGTTTGGATTCAGGAAAAATAAAAGCACTAATGATGCAATCATAAAAATGCTAGATCTGCTTTACACAGCATTGGAAATAAGGAATATCCACTAGGAATTTTTATTGACCTAAGAAAAGCTTTTGACACAGTAGACCACGACATCCTACTCCACAACTTGATCACTACGGTATAAGAGGCCATGCGCTTGCTTATTCAAATCTTGCATTACTAATAGGTATCAGTACGTCACCATTAAAGACACAGCATCAGCAACACGGCCACTTGATACTGGAGTTCCGCAGGGAAGTGTCCTTGGTCCCCTGCTCTTCTCTATACATCAATGACCTTCCAAACGTATCCCAACACCTGAAACCCATTCTCTTTGCTGATGACACGACTTATGTCATCTCTCACCCTAATCTTGCCACCCTCAACACCATTGTGAATGAGGAGCTGATTAAAATATCGACTTGGATGACAGCCAATAAACTTACGCTTAACACTGACAAAACCTACTATATTATGTTTGGTAGCAGAGCAGGAGATGCACAAATTAACATTAAGATTGACAACACTCTAATTTTTTTTTTATATTTTATTGAAAAGACATACATAGTACATAAAAATAAACGACAAATTACATAGTGAAAACAGTGATGAAAAATTCTGCATAGTACATGTACTTTCCAATTAACATATTACATCTGAAAGACAAATCTGTACAGTAAACAATGACCACTCCAATCCTTGAAGTAATGACATTATGTCTGGAACACTAAATCTAACCTAATGACTCCTTGGCAAGTACATCTCATTCCTGATTGTACATCCTGCCACGGAATATACACCTTACATTCTGAAAACACTACCCCCCCCCCCTTCTTGCATGTCAATCCACCTGACACGTAACAATCTTTATATGTAACTGTATATTGTATGAAATACTTTCATTATTCCATATTGAACAACATGATACGTTCAGTATCACTCAAGGTATTGAGATAATATAAAATTCAATTCTACATGATTCATGTACAACGTATATCTACTAAAACACCCAAACATATCACCTTCTCCAGGAAGGTATAAATATATACATATGTTACATACACTTTACAACACAACCAGTGAAAACACAAAAACCTAATCCTGTGTCATCCATCAATTACCCTATAATATATATCAATTCAATGGTAACCTAAACCTACGGGCTCTATAGAGCTCCCATGAAAAAACAATATGTATTAAGAAAACAGGATAAGTCAAGCTTTCTAAAAATATTTCGCCCATATCATTAAAACCACTACTAGGATGTAAGTCTGTTAGCACAAAACATAACAGTGCATGACCTTCACACGTCGATAAATACTGAAGCCTTCCTACCACACGCAATACTTCATGTGTATATATATATTTCGCATTCACACAGTGCACCCATTTTGTCATTTCATTACACACATACCAATAATTTCGTTGCAGATATATAATATTCCATCACATTACGACGTCTGTCGTCCTTTGTCATTAGCATAATTAATAATTAAATTGAAGAACTTGTATCGTTCACAACACACAACCCGCTCATCATACAGTCAAAGGCACTTATGTCTCAGTACTATATTCATTCTCTTCCACACTAAACCCTTTCACACTGTCCTCATCGGGAAGCCAGCCCGCCGCGCCCCCTTTACATTGCACGTAAATCCCATAAATCCCCAACCTAAAACTCCGAAAAGCCCTCGGGAAAAGAAATTCTCCCAACTCCCTCCTAAATTTCCCTATTACGACACTTAGTTCGTTAAAATTCGCAGCAAACACCTTTATCCTCTCATCCACGCCCACCTCCCTCATGGCCCATGACGTATATATAAAAATCCGTGACCAAATACGCCACTGCATTCTCCACCATCTTACTCACCCCACCTATATCCAAACTTAAAGCCCGCAACACCTGCAATCCCCCCCCAAAACCACTAACCTAAAACACCTTTCCTA